ACACCTGGCCTGGCTGGTGCAATTAGCCAATTATGCTATATAACACACCTGGCCTGGCTGGTAGTGTGGTACACTATATTTCACCTGGCCTGGCTGGTACAGTACAGTACACTATATAACATACCTGGCCTGGCTGGTGCAGTGTGTGTACTATATAACACACCTATTTTATTTGGTAGTGTGGTACACTATATAACACACCTGGCCTGGCTGGTACGGTACAGTACACTATATAACACACCTGGCTGGCTGGTACAGTACAGCACACTATATAACACACCTGGCCTGGCTGGTACGGTACAGTACTTTATATAACATACCTGGCCTGGCTGGTACAGTGATACATATATAACACACCTGGCCTGGCTGGCGTTACGGTGTGGTATGCTATATAACACCTGGCCTGTGGTAGTGTAGTACTATATAACACACCTGGCCTGGCTGGTGCAGTACAGTACGCTATATAACACACCTGGCTGGCTGGTACAATCCTGACACACTATATAACACACCTGGCCTGGCTGGTACAGTACAGCACGCTATATAACACACCTGGCCTGGCTGGTACAGTACAACACTATATAACACACCTGGCCTGGCTGGTACAGTACAGTACACTATATAACACACCTGGCCTGGCTGATTTTTTGGTATGCATATATAACACACCTGGCCTAAAGCTGGTACGGTACAGCACACTATATAACACACCTGGCTTTGGCTGTTTAGTACAGTACACTATATAACACACCTGGCCTGGCTGGTACAGTACAGCACACTATATAACACACCTGGCCTGGCTGGCTGGTACAGTGCAATTACGGTACACTATATAACACACCTGGCCTGGCTGGCTGGTACAGTACAGCACACTATATAACACACCTGGCCTGGCTGGTACGGTACCGGTACACTATATAACACACCTGGCCTGGCTGAACGGTACAACACACTATATAACACACCTGGCCTGGCTGGTACGGTGTAATTACACTATATAACACCTGGCCTGGCTGGTACAGTACAGCACACTATATAACACACCTGGCCTGGCTGGTACAGTACCAGCACACTATATAACACACCTGTGGCCTGGCTGGTACGGTACAACATATAACGCACCTGGCCTGGCTGGCTGGTACAGTACAGCACTATATAACACCTGGCCTGGCTGGTACGGTACCAGTACACTATATAACACACCTGGCCTGGCTGGTACAATTACCAGCACCACTATATAACACACCTGGCCTGGCTGGTGCAGTGGCCAGTACACTATATAACACACCTGGCCTGGCTAATTTTTTAATTAATAGTACACTATATAACACACCTGGCTGGCTGGTACAATTTGGCACACTCCTCCTGTACCTGGCCTGGCTGGTACCAGTACAGTATGCTATATATTACACCTGTGTGCAAGCTGGTGCAGTACAACACACTATATAACACACCTGGCCTGGCTGGTACAGTACAGCACTATACTATTTTACCTGGCCTGGCTGGTACAGTGTAGTACCTTACTCTTACACCTGGCCTGGCTTGGTACAGTACAGCACTATATAACACACCTGGCCTGGCTGGTACGGTGGCAGTACACTATATAACACACCTGGCCTGGCTGGTACAGTACAGCACACTATACTAAACACCTGGCTGGCTGGTACAGTGTAATTACACTTCTCTTTTAAGCCTGGCTGTTACAGTACAGCACTATATAACACACCTGGCCCTGGCTGGTACAGTGTAGTACACTATATCTTACACCTGACCTGGCTGGTACAGTACAGCACACTATATAACACCTGGCTGGTACAGTGTGGTACACTATATAACACACCTGGCCTGGCTGGTACAGTGTGGTACACTATAACACACACCTGGCCTGGCTGGTACAGTGTGTACACTATATAACACACCTGGCTGGCTGGTACAGTACAACACACTATATAACACACCTGGCCTGGCTGGTACAGTGTGGTATGCTATATAACACACCTGGCCTGGCTGGTGCAGTGTGGTACACTATATAACACACCTGGCTGGCTGGTACAGTACCAGCACTATATAACACCTGGCCTGGCTGGTCCCAGTGTAGTACACTATATAACACACCTGGCCTGGCTGGGTACCAGTGTGTTATACTATATAACACACCTGGCCTGGCTGGTACAGTACAGTACATATATAACACACCTGGCCCTGTGGCTGGTACAGTACACAGTACACTATATAACACACCTGGCCTGGCTGGTACAGTGTAGTATACTATATAACACACCACCAGCACAGCTGGTACAGTACAGTACACTATATAACACACCTGGCCTGGCTGGGCGTGCCGTACGCATATAACACACCTGTGGCCTGGCTGGTACAGTGTGGTATACTATATAACACACCTGGCCTGGCTGGTACAGTACAGTACGCTATATAACACACCTGGCCTGGCTGGTGCAGTGTAGTATACTATATAACACACCTGGCCTGGCTGGTACAGTACTGATACACTATATAACACACCTGGCCTGGCTGGTACAGTGTGGTAGCATACTATATAACACACCTGGCCTGGCTGGTACCGGTACAGTACACTATATAACACACCTGGCCTGGCTGGTACGGTGTGGTATACTATATAACACACCTGGCCTGGCGCTGGTACAGTGTATTATATATATAACACACCTGGCCTGGCTGGTACAGTACGGTACACTATATAACACACCTGGCCTGGCTGGTACAGTACCAGCACACTATATAACACACCTGGCCTGGCTGGTACAGTACAGTACCTTCTCTTACCTGTTACCAGCTGGTACAGTGTGGTATGCTATATAACACACCTGGCCTGGCTGGTACAGTACCAGCACGCTATAACACACCTGGCCTGCGTGCAGTACAGCTTTCATCGCCACCTGGCCTGGCTGGTACCAGTACAGCACACTATATAACACCGCAAGCTTGGCTGGTACAGTGTGAGTACACTATATAACACACCTGGCCTGGCTGGTACAGTACAGCACACTATATAACACACCTGGCCTGGCTGGTACAGTACAACACACTATATAACACACCTGGCCTGGCTGGTACAGTGTGTAGTACACTATATAACACACCTGGCCTGGCTGGCATTTTTAATTGCACAACACACTATATAACACACCTGGCCTGGCTGGTGATGCAATTCTCTATAACACACTGGCCTGGCTGGTACAGTACAGTACACTATATAACACACCTGGCCTGGCTGGTACAGTACAGTACACTATATAACACACCTGGCCTGGCTTTGGTACAGTACAGTACACTATAACACACAGCCTGGCTGGTACAATGCAGCACACTATATAACACACCTGGCCTGGCTGGTACAGTGTGGTACACTATACTATAACACACCCTGGCCTGGCTGGTACAGTACAGTACACTATAACACACCTGGCCTGGCTGGTACAGTACAGTACACTATATAACACACCTGGCCTGGCTGGTACAGTACAATTACATATATAACACACCTGGCCTGGCTGAGGTACAGTACAATTACACTATATAACACACACCTGGCCTGGCTGGTACAGTACAGTACACTATATAACACACCTGGCCTGGCTGGTACAGTACAGTTACACTATATAACACACCTGGCCTGGCTGGTACAGTGCAATTACACTATATAACACACCTGGCCTGGCTGGTACAGTACAGTACACTATATAACACACCTGGCCTGGCTGGTACAGTACAGTACACTATATAACACACCTGGCCTGGCTGGTACAGTACCAGTACACTATATAACACACCTGGCCTGGCTGGTACAGTACAGTACACTATATAACACACACCTGGCCTGGCTGGTGCTGTTTTAGTCCCACTCTATAACACACCTGGCCTGGCTGGTACAGTACAGCACACTATATAACACACCTGGCCTGGCTGGTACAGTACAGTACACTATATAACACTACCTGGCCTGGCTGGTACAGTACAGTACACTATAACTTTACCTGGCCTGGCTGGTACAGTACAGTACACTATATAACACACCCTGGCCTGGCTGGTACAGTACAGCACTATAACACACCCTGGCCTGGCTGGTACAGTACAATTACACTATATAACACACCTGGCCTGGCTGGTACAGTACAGTACACTATATAACACACCTGGCCTGGCTGGTACAGTACAGCACACTATATAACACACCTGGCCTGGCTGGTACAGTGTAGTACTATATATAACACACCTGGCCTGGCTGATTACCAGTGCAGCACACTATATAACACACCTGGCCTGTGCCGGTACAGTACAGTACACTATATAACACACCTGGCCTGGCTGGTACAGTACAGTACACTATATAACACACCTGGCCCTGGCTGGTACAGTACAGTACACTATATAACACCTGGCCTGGCTGGTACAGTACAGTACACTACCCACACCTGGCCTGGCTGGTACCAGTACAATGCACTATATAACACACCTGGCCTGGCTGGTACAGTACAGCACTATATAACACACCTGGCCTGGCTGGTACAGTGTAGTACACTATATAACACACCTGGCCTGGCTGGTACCAGTACAGTACACTATATAACACACCTGTGGCTGGTACAGTACAATGCCTCTTACCTGGCCTGGCTGGTACAGTACAGTACACTATATAACACACCTGGCCTGGCTGGTGCAATTGCAATTACACTATATAACACACCTGTTACCAATGGTACAGTACAGTACACTATATAACACACACCTGGCCTGGCTGGTACAGTACAGTACACTATATAACACACCTGGCCTGGCTGGTACAGTACAGTACCTCTCTAACACACCTGGCCTGGCTGGTACAGTACAGTACACTATATAACACACCTGGCCTGGCTGGTGCAGTACAGTACACTATATAACACACCTGGCCTGGCTGGTACAGTACAGTACACTATATAACACACCTGGCCTGGCTGGTACAGTACAGTACACTATATAACACCTGGCCTGGCTGGTACAGTACAGTACACTATATAACACACCTGGCCTGGCTGGTACAGTACAACACACTATATAACACACCTGGCCTGGCTGGTACAATTGCAGTACACTATATAACACACACCTGGCCTGGCTGGTGCAGTACAGTGCACTATATAACACACCTGGCCTGGCTGGTACAGTACAGTACACTATATAACACACCTGGCCTGGCTGGTTACAGTACAGCACACTATGTAACACACCTGGCCTGGCTGGTACAGTACAGTACACTATATAACACACCCTGGCCTGGCTGGTACAGTACACAGCACGCATATAACACACCTGGCCTGGCTGGTACAGTACAGTACACTATATAACACACCTGGCCTGCCTGGTACAGTACAACACACTATATATAACACACCTGGCCTGGCTGGCTGGTACAGTACAGCACACTATATAACACACCTGGCCTGCCTGGCTGGTACAGTACAGCACACTATATAACACACCTGGCCTGGCTGGTACAGTACAGCACTATAACACCTGGCCTGGCTGGTACAGTACAGCACACTATATAACACACCTGGCCTGGCTGGTACAGTACAGCACACTATATAACACACCTGGCCTGGCTGGTGCAGTACAGCACACTATATAACACACCTGGCCTGGCTGGTACAGTGGTTTTACTATATAACACACCTGGCCTGGCTGGCTGGTACAGTACAGCACTATATAACACCTGGCCTGCCTGGCTGGTACAGTACAGCACACTATATAACACACAGCCTGGCTGGTACAGTACAGCACACTATATAACACACACCTGGCCTGGCTGGTACAGTACAGTACACTATATAACACACCTGGCCTGCCTGGCTGGTACAGTACAGCACACTATATAACACACCTGGCCTGGCTGGTACAGTACAGCACACGCATATAACACACCTGGCCTGGCTGGTACAGTACGGCACACTATATAACCGCACCTGGCCGCAACAATTTTGTTACAGTACTATATAACACACCCCACCTGGCCCCACCAGCTGGCTGGTACAGTACAGCACACTATAACACACCTGGCCTGCCTGGCTGGTACAGTACAGCACACTATATAACACACCTGGCCTGGCTGGTACAGTACAGTACACTATATAACACACCTGGCCTGGCTGGTACAGTACAGCACATATATAACACACCTGGCCTGGCTGGTACAGTGTAGTACACTATATAACACACCTGGCACAAGCTGTTACAGTACAGCACACTATATAACACACCTGGCCCTGGCTGGTACAGTACAGCACACTATATAACACACCCAGCCAGCCTGGCTGGTACAGTGTAGTACACTATATAACACACCTGGCCTGTGGTACAGTACAGCACACTATATAACACACCTGGCTGTGGCTGGTACGGTGTAGTATACTATATAACACACCTGGGCTGGCTGAGGTGCAATTGTGGTGCACTATATAACACACACCTGGCCTGGCTGGTACAGTACAGCACACTATATAACACACACCTGGCCTGGCAATTCGGTGTAATTATGCTATATAACACACCTGGCCTGGCTGGTGCCTGGCTGGCCTGGCTGGTGCAGTGTAATACACTATATAACACACCTGGCCTGGCTGGTACAGTGCAACACACTATATAACACACCTGGCCTGGCTGGTACAGTACAACACACTATATAACACACCTGGCCTGGCTGGTACAGTACAGCACACTATATAACACACCTGGCCTGCCTGGCTTGTACTTTACTCGAGTCACAAGAAAGGATTGTTGTTGATGTCAACCACAATGACTTACTCAATAGTTTTGTAATTTTATCCCTCATAAATTCAACTATTTTATACAAATTTAATAATATTTTAATTTAAATATGTTAATTTTCTATAGAGACTTATTATATTTATTGTAATTATTTCAAATTTGATGTATTATAAATAAGTTGTTTTATACCGAAAGATTTTAGTAAAGCGACGGTAACCATGACGACCTGAGTGTGTATTAAGGCGCCCGGAGCTGGAGCCTCTGGTCCCCGACCCTGAGCCTGGTCCCCGACCCCTGGAGCCTGGTCCCCGACCCCTGGAGCCTGGTCCCCGACCCCCTGGAGCCTCCTGGTCCCCGACCCCTGAGCCTGGTCCCCGACCCCTGAGCCTGGTCCCCGACCCTGGAGCCTGGTCCCCGACCCCCTGGAGCCTGGTCCCCGACCCCTGAGCCTGGTCCCGACCCCTGAGCTGGTCCCCGACCCCTGAGCCTGGTCCCCGACTCCTGGAGCCTGGTCCCCGACCCCTGAGCCTGGTCCCCGACCCCTGGAGCCTGGTCCCGACCCCTGAGCCTGGTCCCCGACCCCCTGGAGCCTGGTCCCCGTCCCTGGAGCCTGGTCCCGACCCCGAGCTCTGGTCCCCGACCCCTGGAGCCTGGTCCCCGACTCCTGAGCCTCTGGTCCCCGACCCTGAGCCTGGTCCCCGACCCCCTGGAGCCTGGTCCCCGACTCCCTGGAGCCTGGTCCCCGACTCCCCTGAGGGATCAGGGTAGTCACACTGTCGCCGTGTGTAACAAGCTAACAACACTGTGTGTGCAGTATACGACAAGAGCTGATTCAGTGAGCCTGTTTACAGCAGTTACTGTGTCACCTTTACTATGGTCAGGTTTAAGAAAAGGTACTGTGTTGTACTGTATCTGTTGTACTGTACCGTGTTGTACTGTACCGTGTTGTTCTTAATAAAGGCTTTCATTGTTTTATACTGGCAGTTGTACTGTGCTGGTTACTCGTACAGTATTTTCAATATTTGATCTGCTTAACATGAATTTCGGTAATTTTTATAGTTGCACTTAATGATTTTGGACAGGAAACGTAAGTTTTTCCAATGGTTTTAATGTGTTTTGAACTATCCTGACCTTCATTTCTATCGCAAATGACCTGTTTTTGAGTTTGATAATCTTGGGGCACTCGTGGCAAATCGGGATCTTTGGGTGAGGGTAGAGCAAAAACAAGGGTATGGACCAAAGTTGACTCGGGTTTTCCATTTTTACTAGAAGAAAAAATTAAATTGAAAATCTGAGCCAAATTTTGGCGAAAGATTATTATCAAATTCGAATGAATCACACCAAAACCCATCGGAAAAACCCAAGTTTCATCTCAACCTAACCTGACCTAACCGCCATTGTTCATTGATTGTGGGGGGGGGGGGCGGACCCTCACCATATTAAACAGAAACTACTGTATTACTTATTTTGACATAAGCAAGTTTGCGGATGACACCAAAATAGGGCGGCAGATTAATTCAGGGCAGGATGCAAATGTATTACAGGAGGATCTAAAGAAACTGCAGAGGTGGTCTGAAAAATGGCAAATGAAATTCAACACCAGCAAGTGCAGCGTATTTTAATATTGGAAGAACAAATACTGTCAATGTATACAGCCTTAACAACATCAACCTAGAGAAGTCGACTTTGTGAATGAGACCTAGGGATACTTAGAAGCCCAGACCCACGCTCAGAAAACAGTGCATGTTCAAATAAGGCAAACAGAGTATTGGGTTTTATATCTAGAAGTGTAAGTAATAAGAGTGCAGAGGTCTTATTGCAACTATATCTTGCGCTTGTCAGCCGCACTCTCGATTATGTGGTTCAGTTCTGGTGCCCTTATTAAAGAATGGATATAAGTTCACTAGAGTCGGCAGCCAAGAATGACTAAAATGATTCCGGGACTTAGAAACCTTCCATATCAGGATAGGTTTAAGAAACTTAACTTGCATTCCCTAGAAAGATAAGAGTGTGAGGAGATATGATAGAAGTATTTAAGTGGGTGAAAGGAATCAATAAAGGGATATAGATAAAGTTCTTATAACATCCGAGCAGGATAGACCTCGAGCAACGGATTTAAGTTGGATAAGTTTAGGTTTAGGAGGGAGATAGGAAGAAACTGGTTCACAAATAGGGTGGTGGACGAGTGGAACAAGCTTAGCAACTTTGTAGTAAATCCTGGAACTCTGGAAAGTTTCAAAAGGAGGCTAGATAGATTCATGGATGATAGAGAGTGGTAGTAACTCTTGACAGGAGCTGCCATGCACAGGCCAACCGGCCTATTGCAGACTCCTTATTTTCTTATGTTCTTATATTCTTATATCTGATACTAATGAAAGCAACATTGTTGAAGCATCATGGCATAATTTTATGTTTCTTGTGGGATTGAGAAAATGCTCAGATTGAACAGGTCGGTTGTAAACAAACAAAGCAAATGAGTATTTATGGTAGATTATTAATTTTTCATGTACACAGAATGTAGAGACATCATTTTAGTGTTATTAGTTGTTGTTGTTTTTTTTTACCAAGTTTTACCGTGCATTCTTTATCCTTCTTGCCCTGCCCTGCCCTTATGATTATAGATAAAAAAAATAAAAAGTTGTTACCGCTTTTTAAGTATTTACTATAATGATAAGAATATCTGGAAAAAATTAACAAAATCAAACAATTTCTGCTGTTAGCCATCTCCTCCGGTATTACTGTTGTTGAACCTGTATTAGGGCCCTGACCAGGATATATTGTAACCTAACCTAACGTACTATACCTGAGCTATCCTAGGATGGCAGTGCATTAGTTAAGGTCAGGTTAGGTATGGAAAGTTCGCTGGGAAGAGTTTGGGAGCTTAGTATTATGGTCGCTGGCTGGTGAGTGTGTCAACGCTTTAACCATAAATGTAGGTCTTTATTTGCAGGAAAATTAATACACAAAATTATATATTTTTTCACCTTACTTGATTTATTCTTGAGGTCATAGATAAGTTTTCTTTTAAAGAGATTTTTTGGTTCGGTGAGTGGTTATCCTGGACCTCTGTTGTTACCTATTGTTCATTAGAAGATAAAATGTTTCTGATCTCAAGACATTACAATACAGTACCATATAATGGCAATAATTTGCAATTTGTGTACCTTAATATTATTTTGGCAGTGGTTACAGTATTTGTCCAGTCACGGACCATTACTGTACATTACCGTATATATTTCCACTGTTTATCCGGCATTCATTCTGATTACTGAATTAATTACTTTCAAACCTAACCTAGCTTAACCTAACTTACTACATTTTCACTTGACAGAATTCATTAAAGTAGGATCACCGTTATCAGCCTCGACCAATCAGAATGAATGCTGGAAAACTATCATTCGCAAATAAAGATCCCTACTCGGACAAATAACCGCTTCTTGTTATTTCTGAGATTTTTTTTCCCCAGTCGCTAATCTTTCTCGACAGACTACAGAGCCACATTCACTGTTAACATACCGAGTGTTAACAGGAATTCCTGCATTATTTGATTTATTGGATAGATCAACCTATTGTGGGTTAGGTTAGGTTGGTTCATTTTATTATTCATTTAGCTAATGTAGCAATGGCATGAAACTTGTTTCTCTATGGAAGCGTTGATGTGTATGAAACGATGGTCAGGAGAAAGTGAACTCACCAATACTGCAGAGTTTCTTTACTCAAGGGTGGGTCCAGGGAGTCCGGACCCCGCTTTTCACCAGAAAATTCCAATAGTACTTTTTCTTTAATGCATAATGCAGTACAGCCCCCTCCCAGTTCACGGTTTTCGGTTATTCACGGATGACACCCTGGATGTAACCAAGAATGTCTGTGGGTAGTTTTAAAGTTGCCGGCATTTTTGCAGCTGGGACAGGGAGCCATTCTTTCTAGAGACAGTAATTTCCTTTACCTATATTGTAAATGTGTGTGTGTCTACAGGTAAAGGAAATAATTGTCCTAAGAGCAAACACATACAGGGAATATACATTTCTTTGTACACAAGTAAAAATGTAACACCCCGTCCATAAATGTTATTCACGGATTTGGCAATTCGCTGCCATTTTGAGAAGCCAACCCCCATGAATTTGGGGGGCCCCCTGTATTGTACTGAGGTGTTTTTGTATACTAAAAAGTAATTACTATTGACTTCAGAATATCTCCTAATATCAAGTGTACAGGCTTCAAAATGGTCTCAAAATGCCCTTGACATTGGTTAGAATTAAATACACTGTTAGGGGGAGCATACACTGCACATCACCACTAACTGAAATATTGTCCACTTGGGCCGACAAATGCTGTACAATGCCAGTAATCTCTTTACAGTGAATTTTATGTACAAATTTGCCTTCTCTTAGGGTGGGAACTAGAATGCTGTCCCTACAGCCAGCATTCAAAATGGAGCACCCTGAAATTAAATTTCAGTGCTTATTCTTGTATTAACATTATGGTTAAGTATACAGTCCCAGAAACCTGCATCTGGAATAAAAAGAGCTGGTCACATGATGAGTTGAGCTGTGCATTGTGAAATTGAGTTTCCCCACAGGCCATCAAACTGACAAACCTCAAACTGGGTACAGAAGTAAACTGTCAAACATAATATTATGCAGACAACAATACCTTTCACTGTTAGGACTGCAGAGCTACAGCCAAGCTATAGACAAAGTGGGGGTAGCTTTTAGCTCTTGACAGGACATGCACAGGAGATATCCAATCAGATGGTAGACCCAGCAAATGATGGTTTATAACCACCTACAGTACTGTACATATAGTTTAATCATTAATAATTGTTCCAGATATTGTGTTGTGGAACTGGTGGCAGAAAACTGTGTATACTTTGGCCGGGATGGACTTCAGAAGGCTGTTGTTGAGGCAGTCAAGAGACTTCATGGTGATTTTGGTGTTTCTGCAACAACTCCTGGCTTCCATGGTAAGTTGGTAACGTTACCTTCCTTTAGTAACACTGAAGCTAAACTCTCCATATAGTTATAAATACAGTCTAAAAATCCGGACTGCTTGGGGATTGGGTCGGTCCAGATTTTCGGATTTTCCGGATTCTCAGGCAGTACTTTTAAAATTGAAATTTAAGGAGGAATAAAGAAGAGATGAACAGGTACATTTTGATAGTTTATTCATTAGCAAATATAGCATGCTTCATTTATCAAAACGAGCAGTTTTAAAGAAAAAGCTGTAATTCTAGAATTTTATTCTTTGCCTTTTTATGTCATAAATTGTAGACTTTCAATGTGCGTATGTTTCCATTAGAACAGTATTGCTCACACCACTTTCTAGTTTCTTAATTATTTCAAGTTTGTCACTCAATTTCAACGTGTTCTTCTTTTTCTCTTCACACAACGAAGTTTATCTACTTTAGGAGCCATTATTATGGGCTTGTACAGTACTCTGTAAATGGAAAGTGTAGGACTCAAAATTACATGTCACAGTTTGATTGCTCGTTTTAAAGTGGCGACCGCGTGGTGCCTTGTTGTCGCTAATGCAGCTGTGGCGCTCATGCACATACACACAAAAGCCCGCTAAATAAAATAAAAAGTTGGAGTTTTCGAAAAGTCCGGATTCTCGGGTGGTCCGGATTTCTGGCATCCGGTTTTTGGGTTTTACTGTAAGGGATTAATCCTAAAATACAGTTTTATAACCAGCATGATTGTGTGAATCATATTCTTAAGCCCCGTCCACATGATCGAGCAGTGCCCGGCGGGGCAAAGCCTGTGTTGTGTTGTACACCACGGGGTGGTTGGCGGCAGTCATAGTCGGGCACCGGTAGCTAGTAGGTGTTCGGCAGTGGCGAGCGCGGTACGATCACCATGGTGTGTCGCAGGAATAATCACCGGACAGTGAAAGCAAAGAGTATAGCGTTGTGTACTATAATAATTGCTGCTATGTGCAAAAAGAAGAACCAAATGCAGAAAAGGGAATAGTCCAAAGAGTGGTTAGGTCGAAGAAAAGTATTGGGAAGTCGTGCCACGATATGACGTGAACTGCAAGATGGACATGAGCAAGACTTCACCAATTACACGAGAATGGACCCCAACACCTTTTATAAACTTCTAGCGAAAGTGGAACCATATATAAAAAAACAGGATACCAATATAAAGGAGGATATATCTGCAGAGGCTTGCCTAGAGGCAACGCTCATATCTTTCAACTGGGTGCACCTACGTCACTTCAGTATAGAACGGGATATCAAAACAAAGTTTGTCTCGCATAATACCTGCAACTTGTCAAGCCATGGAAGTACTCAAGGAAGATTACTTGCAGGTGAGATTTGTTGTACATAAAAATTCATTGAATAATGTTAGAATTATGATATGCACAGACAGGAAGTTATGGGACTAGAGTAAGGAGAGCGGCAGGAGCGAAGAACACACAGTATGTCCTCATTGCATAATACATGAACAATCTCCGTTTATTGTCAGCATAAAATGTACATTGCATAAGCTTATTTGGTTATACACTGGACATCTGGACGAGGCGAGGAACATATCAGTATCACATTTGCAGTACTTACCTGCGTTTTACAAAGTGATAGCATACGTTCTGTCAGTATCTCTGTTCATACCTCACCGACTTGAGGACCCGACCCCGAGGTCAGCGGTGGCGTAGTGATCGGCTGTTTTTGACAGTCGCGTGGGGTTCCAATAATAACACGTGTCTTGTATTGCAGGCTTGAGTAATGTTGAATATCAATGACAATATTATAGGAATGTCAGTTTTCCGGTTTTATCGTTTGTCTGGCAGAGTCGTTGCTCCATATCCGGCAGCAAACCACCAGGCAGGTGGACCATGATTTCGCTCAACGACGGGCACGGGCAATCCGCTGCTTTGCCCGATAACGGGCATATAGCGTGTTCCTTCCGGGCACTGCTCGATCGTGTGGACGGGCCTTTACTCTCTATGGAGATGATTAGACAATCAGAGAAGTGAAAGGTGATGAAGCCAGGATCACTGTACTAGACGCAAGTGCTTTCCATATTGCTGCAGTTGAGCCGGGAGAGATCTAATCTTTAGCCTTGCTGCAGTTTTAGAGTGTAGCTCAGATGACCAAGTCTCAGAACCTTGGGGTCAAACCCATAAGTTTGTCAATGCAGAACATGAGTCACCAGGTCCTCCCTGAGAACTAAGGATAATTCCCTCACTCTTTTTTAATAACTGCAAGTACCAATACTATGCTGTACTGTATGAAATTCACTTCAAAGTTATGTCACACTCACACATAACAGTACATTCTTGCCAATAAAATATCCCCTCAATTTCAATTTTAAGCCTCTCCCAGATGGTCATCGCTCAGCAATAATATAATCCCTTCCTGTACTCTATATTCCATTTATATAGTTTCATTAAATATACTCTTTCTTACAGTTAAATACTTCAACATTAAAACACGTATAGCGTTTGTGAGTGTAGGTCGTGGTCCACATCAGCTAGTGGCCTCAGCACTCCCTCTCATCACCCAGATAGGGGGGCAGCCAGCATCAGTACGCATTATACACCTGGCAGCTTCAATGAGGCATGGCTTTTTGTTTGTGAAGGTTTGTCATGTAGTGTACAGTGTTGTTTATGCTAATGAATCATTAGGTTGCACTTCAGGTGATAATGTTGGTACTGTAGTGAATTCATTAAGATTATCTGAAAACCACAATTTTGAGAGGGTAATATGTAAAAATATTGATTAATTAAAGACTTTGTTTTAAAATATATAAAAAAAAGAGAGGTCACAAGTTGCATCATCAAATACATTGATTAGGGCGTCGTTCCCTGGCCAGAGACTGAAGATGTTTCTGGCGGAATGATCCAAACTGACTGAGGTTACATGACACAGCACTTATAGTAAGGAGTTCAGTAGCATCAGTCTAGTGTAAAAGTGAGTTTTGGTGTAAAGACAAATGGCTACAATTATAGATGGTGGGCCGAGAGGTTGGTAGTGGTCATTCAGAAAGAAGGTAGAAGTGTGGTATGGTAACCAAGAATCAAAAGTGGGATGTTCTGTGTTGCTCAAAACAGATGAAGTAATGGGGAGAATATTTTGATTAAGTTTTAAGTGTAATAGATGAGACAGACAGAATTATACCACTTTGGACACACAGGAGTAGAAGGTCCTATCGGAGACACTCAGGTTGACTGGGGAACTGTTGAGCTAATGTGGGTATGAAGCGTGAACACTAGATAATGCACAGGAGGAAAAGGAAGCAACAAGAAAGAAAGACCTGCAAATAGGAAGTAGAAAGTTGTAAGTGCAGTAGTCAGTACAGTAGTAAGGATGTGGAGTGAATTTACTTATTGAGAGATTGAGAAGTGATTAGTAAAAAATGTGTGTGATTTAGAGGTAGATGCAGAGGCGAAGGAAAGATGAAGAAAGAGATAGAAGGATGTTGTGCTTAAAAGAGTTGATAGATGACGGTTGGCTTGTGTCAGGCGACAGGATAAATTAGTTTAGGGGTCTTGTTATGAAGGGGACTACCTCAGTAGAACACATCTTATACGACAGCAAAAGTCATTGAATGACAACAAAATGAAAAGATCTGCATATACGGTACAATTTGGGGATTTCTTCCGTTACTTAACGTACATAAATTTGACTTTACAAAAAGTCCGTTGAAAATGATAAAAATATCTGAGATTGTAGAGTTTCTATGTATATTGTAGCGTAATGTACTTGGGTACTACTTATGGTCGTGGAGCATTACTGAGGAGTGTTGTGATAACACCACTGCTGCCATCCCTTCAATTAGCAAGTCAACGCTAGGAATTATGATAATGTGTTAGTACTGTAAATATTAAGTTAATCATCTATTATATCTTAATCTTGTCGTTTATTTTATTTCACTTCAATACATACAGAATGATGATGTAGTTATTTACCTGTTAAGGGTTGATCACCTTCTTGTATATTCATAGTTGTTTCCATTTACAAGGATACCATGAGAAGAAGCTAAAGGCATCACAAGTGAGCTGTAAGAAAGAGATGGTGTAAATCACCGTTTAATTTTCCTAATCTTTCTCTGTAAGAAGGAAATTTTTATTGTGTGTGTGGGGCCATTGGGTTAAAGAACATGTTCTACCACTGAACTAGTGTAATAAAATAAATATACCATAATGGTGCATGGAGTATGATAACTACAGTACTTAGAAATAGGAGCAGAGCTTAAGACTTTTAATTTACTTTTGCCGGTTTCAATGGTGGAGACAATACAGTCATCCTTAACAGATGTGCTCTCAAAAATCAGTATACATGTACAGTATAAGACAATATACTTTTGTAAACTATTGTTTTAATGGAAAATAAGGGAAGCATTCCATTGGTTATGAACAGAGTAAAAGACATTGCACTCCTGACAAATTTACTTATTCTTATGTACAACTCATAGCAAATATGATGAATGTAGTTCCACTATTTACTCCAGTTCGACCATAATAAAGTTTTATTGTTTAAATATTTGTTTTAGTTTAAAAGTGGTGCTTTACAGGGGCTATAATACTATTGATAAAAACTGTAATAATGGATGGTCTTGATAGTTATGAAATGTGATCCTCATTACCTATTAGATTCATAACTCTGTCTGTGACCACACAACACCTTTGGAAACAATCCCACAAAAATGAGGATTTACTGTATACAGTTCAAGCACTGTTTAATTTCAGAGTGAAACTTGTGCACTATCTCATTATCAAAGCACAGATACAGGACATTTAGCTACAATTTATGTCATTATCAAGTGAGTCAGAAGTTCTATCCAACAGTTCCTGTAGGGCAGGTGGCAACTGTGTCTCAGATGAGGTATCTTTCCTCCACAGATTAAAACCTTCCTTCCCACTGGTTTTCTTGGGACTCCCTTTCTTCACCTTACCTTTACCAAAGTCATTCTGCCATTCTTGAAGAGCAACATCAAGATTATCATTGTCACTATCATAATCACTAATATTAAGATCAAAACTGCTGTCATCATCATCCACATCATCTTTTACTTCCAGTGTAGCTAAAGGTTCCACCACAGTACCTTGTTCTGAGCCTTCTAATGTAATATTGTTGTCTTTACTTTCAATACAAGTTCTCTGAGGATCAATTGCATCACCAATTGGTTTGTTTTCATTAGTGGGTTCAGTGTTCACTAACTGTTTTCTCTTGAGCTGAACTTCTCTGATGTATGAGTCTAGCTGGTCAATAGGAATGATTTCTTCAAGATCATCCTCAGGTTTTACATTGCATTTTTTTTTCTCATGAGTATCTTGCACATTTGTTTCTTTAGAAGACACACCATTCACTGTTAACAAGTCTTTCCTTCCAGTTTTGCTTCCTTTACCTAGTTTACTTGTTGCCGTTAATCTACTCCTTGAATCATAGGGTGTGCCATCATTCTCAGTTAGTATTACATCTCTACTCTTACTCTCAACCTCTGCTTCACTATCACACAAATGTTTTACAACTATATTCTCACTCGCTGGGACAACTATTTTATCATACTCACTAGTGGTCTTGTCTATCACACTCTTATTGGTAGCCAGTGGAGTACTGACTAAACAACTATTTTCAGAATCAAGTTTCACTTTGCTTTCTGAAATATGTGAAATATTTTCCTCATGGCTTATGCTCAATTTCTTTCCATGACTACAAATTTAGTTTTATAGTATCATTAAACTTAGCATCTGCAGTCTCCTCATTTAGGTGTTCAACAGTCTTACTCTTCTCCATTGGTTCCTGTCCTGAACTAATTGTTTGGATGAGTTTAGCAAGACGAGGGTCCTGAAGGACATCCTCTTCATTGTATTTTATAATTGGTCCTGCCGGTGGAGCATATCCATCCATAAGACCCAGTAAGGCTACCTGTAGTTCAGGAGCATCAGTAGTCGTCCCTTCTTCGTCCACCTTCATGTCTTCTGAACTACCAATGGTGGATAATCTTCTCTCCAGCTCTGACACTCGCCCAACCAGCACCCTGATAAAATATTAAACCTAATTACATTACAATCATGTATTTAAATTTTTTATACTGAAGTACCATATGCAAGCTTTTTGTTGTTTAATGAAGGTTAGGATAAGACACTTTTAGGCTCACGGTACAAACAGTAATTATGTTATTTTTAATGCAGTAGACTTGTCACATAGTGAAATATTGTACCACAATTACTAGCTCACAACATTAGTAATTTCACACTCCCCAATCAGGGTTCAGGGCTGGGGACCTCTGAACTGTATTCTGTTCTGATAGCAATCCCATGTTGCTACCATATGACTTCCTTATCCCTTAAAGGTCTGACATCGTCCGACGCAGTAGGGGTCTGATGTCGTCTATCTAGTGCTTCATTTGTTAATTTTCCCGCGCAAGTAGCGTGACTACTATTGTGGCAAAGCTCATCCCCCACAGCATCTTAAACAAAAAACAGTATAACAGTTGTCACCAAAGAGGAAGGTTGTGCGTCTACCTCTCTGGATTACCCACTTAGAACTCCAGCTCCCAAGCCCTGCCACAGAGTGGTGAATGTACTGTAATAATAAGGAACCATGTGAAGGTGTTGTAAGAACATGGAGTGAGTTGGTAGTGCACCACCGTTCACTCCAAGATAGGGGGGTGCTGAGGTACCATGACTCACCAATAACCACAGGTGGTGAGTACAGTAATAATTATGTTATTTCCTATTGACTAACATGTATGTCTAACATTTCATAAGACTAAAACATTCATTTTATGATTTTCCTTTTTTAGTCTATTATTCAGTTTCTGAATGGAGACTTTAATATACATCAGACCTTTAAGGGTTAAATTTACATAAACAGGTGCAAGAGTTTAGTCCACACAAAATTCACTTACTTGTTGGCAGAACGCTGAGTTCTTAAGGCTCGGAACCGCTGGTTGAGAGCATCAACAAGAGCAACACAGAGACTCCTCAGGTCACTCTCGGCCGCTCCTCCAACTTCCCCACGGTAGTCGTGAAGTAACTCGCACACTGATTAACATATTGATAGTGTTATTAACATATTACAGTAGTGTTATTAATATATTACTGTAGTGTTATTAACATATTACAGTAGTGTTATTAACATATTACAGTAGTGTTATTAACATATTACAGTAGTGTTATTAACATATTAAGGTAGTGTTATTAACATTACAGTAGTGTTATTAACATATTACAGTAGTGTTATTAACATATTACAGTAGTGTTATTAATATATTACTGTAGTGTTATTAACATATTACAGTAGTGTTACTAACATATTACAGTAGTGTTATTAACATATTATGGTAGTGTTATTAACATATTATGGTAGTGTTATTAACATATTACAGTAGTGTTATTAACATATTACAGTAGTGTTATTAACATATTACTGTAGTGTTATTAACATATTACTGTAGTGTTTTTAACATATTACTGTAGTGTTATTAACATTTTACTGTAGTGTTATTAACATATTACTGTAGTGTTTTTAACATATTACTGTAGTGTTATTGACATATTACTGTAGTGTTATTAACATATTACTGTAGTGTTATTAACATATTACTGTAGTGTTTTTAACATATTACTGTAGTGTTATTAACATTTTACTGTAGTGTTATTAACATATTACTGTAGTGTTTTTAACATATTACTGTAGTGTTATTGACATATTACTGTGTTATTAACATATTACTGTAGTGTTATTAACATTATTACTGTAGTGTCATTAACCAGAGATGTGATTTCTCCCTTTTTCCACCCATCGTTTTAGGCGACCCAAGTGAACCGCGTAGATCCCTCGAGAAAAATTTGGCACCAATTTTCCAGGAACTGATGGTCCAGCACCTCAATTACCCCCGGTAGTCCTGACAAAATTACGAGAGGGCACTTAACTTCCCTCCCTGCCATATTTCACTGGATTTACTGTTATTATTAGTGTTTACTGATATAATAGTGATTAATCATGGCATTGTAGCCAGATTAGACTCGTCACTGCAACCACCAGACTACTGGGCCAAGCTGTGACGTGTTATGGTTGTTTTTCAACTCGTATTTTCGGGTAGATATATACTGTACAACTTTCTTCATTTATTTTTACTCGTGTACATGCACACACCCTCCTAAATACATTTTGTGAAAAAAGTAAAAGAAATAAATGTCTAAGAGCAAACCTGTACTCAAATGTACTAAGTTAGTTAATTAATAAAAATTTTGTCTCGTGCAAACAATGGAATGTTTGTACTTAAATAAATCAATATCTTGCAAGAATTCCAGTAATGTAAGTTAAATCTGCCAAGTCAATTCAGTGACATTTTAAAAGTGCAAAACTTAAATTCCCTCTATATGACTGATAACTTTGTTATCTCTATGCTGGCTGTCAACACCTCACCTCTCCTTGCCCCCTCCTCCCAGCTCGGGTGAAGGCAGTTTTAGGCTTAAAGTTTTTATCTTATAAAAGTCACATTGCTGGAATCGTTTTAAGATAGTGATTAATTGGAGTATAAACATGACAGTTTGCACAAGAGATAAATATTTTTAGTCCTTTATGTGTCGTACATTTGAGTACAAAGTAATATGTTGCTCAAAATTATGGCTTTTTCACGTTTAATATTTGTTTAATTTAAGTTTCTTGCAGTTCATGGTGCTTTAAAGACACAGGGTCACAGGTGTATTGTTGAATTATTATTACCTGACCTCGGTTGGTCCGGCAAAACAGATAATATGGCAAGGCTTTTGAACAAAGGGTGCCAGAAAATTGGTGGTGTACTTGTATTTATATACATGTGCAATAAATAACAAGAAGACAAATATGAGCAAATTTAACATCTGTATAATTTTGTAAAAAAATAAAGAAGAAAAAAAGAAAATGCACTAAGGCATTTTTGGACAATAAAGCACTTAAGTGGTTGGCTATAATCTTAACTGGCACAAATTATTCTATTTTGTAAAGTATCAAACAGTGAAGTAGATACTTTCTGTAACTGTAAGAAAGGGCAGGCATATGGTCCCTTAACCAAGTAGAGCACAGGTTCTGTGAACCATCAGAGAGAAAGTCCCCCTTAATTACAGGTTCTGTGAACCATCAGAGAGAAAGTCCCCCTTAATTACAGGTTCTGTGAACCATCTGTAACACCTTCTTCATCAAACAATTCATGAGTATTTACAGCATATAAAAAATTATTTGAAAGATATACTACCTTGCTGTGGTGTTACAATGAGGTTTTCTGAAGTGCCTAGCTTGAGCGATCCATGTGAGCGGCACTTCTCTAATGCAGCCTTATGGGAGTGAAGAAGATAAAGCAAATGTTGAAATATGAAAAGTTATTACGCAGGTAAGTCCCTTCACCAGGTGATACCCTCATAAGGCTCAATTACCAATGACTGCATCAAAGTCATGTGAAGCTTAAGTTTTTTACTTTGTTTTTATAAAGAAAGAAATCATTAACTTTTGGGTAGAGAATATCAACAAGACCACAGTGAAGTTCCCCCTGTAGTATTATACTGTACTGTAATGCTTGTGTCATATACAGTACAGTACAGTTGTACCCCGCTTTACGCGGTTTCACTTAACGCGATTTCTCATATACGCGGTGCCTCGCCAGAACCGAACTTTCACTTAATGCGGTTCATCTACCCATGTAAGCACAGTGTCCGGCTCGAGACGCTATTTTTAGATTCGCCCCACCCGCCACCCGCTCCCGCCTGCCTCGCCTCTCCCTCCGCCTCCATCCCCGTATGCCGACCCATCTCTTCTACTAACGTAAGTGTTACACCTAACTTTTAGTTTTCCTAACCTAACCTTTATTTTTCCTCACTTAACCTTTATTTTTCCTAACCTAACCTCTTCTATATTACTTGTTTGTTCATACCATCATTAAGTTAAGATAAAATTTTTACTACAACATAGTTGTGTCGTCAAAAAGTGGAGTTTGGGGGTCGGGCCAGTCTCTATTGGAATTAATCCCATATGTTCTGTTGTTCACTTAACGCGGTACCCTGTGGGTCCAACTGACCGCGTAAAGCGGGGTACAACTGTACAGTATAAAGTTTATGACAGATCTGGTACAGTAATTGGCTTTTTGAGGGTAACTTCCTGTACAGTACAGATAAATATTATACATGCATCTATAACATACATAGTCTTTTATTTCATGCTGTTAGTTATAATGTGTACAAGGCCTAACTAGCAAGAAAGTTAATTTCTTAATAACAAAAAAATTCTATAAGTGTAAATAATACAGTACTGTACTGTACATAAGATAGTATTGTACTAACCAGCCAAGCTTTTTGTAGAGTACAGTCAGATAACTGTTATTATTACCAACATACAAAGTGAACTTCATATAGGCTTACCATTAAGGGTTGTGACACCCATTAGTGTACTATTAGTCATGTAAGATTCAAAGTTCAGTACAGTTTCTTTTATCAACATTCTCAATACTGTACAGGTATAGGCTAAGCTAGTGTAGATGTAACTCCTTTACCTCAGCCATGGAACTGTACTGTACATCTTAAACTCTTCCATGCTGGATCATCTCAAAGTGCACAGTACAGTACTTGTTCACCCTGTCTTTGCATGTTAACTTTATTGTTCCTAACAGTTTTCTTCAATCAAAACATTTCATTAAAGAAATCATCAATGTTGTTTGAATTACATTTATCCTTAAAATTTCTCACTTACACGACACTTCACTTGAGAGTCAAAACTACGGTACATTGTAAAATTATCAAATAATGTTTCAAAATAACTTTTGTTAGGTACAGTATTATTATGGTAGTCAGGGTAACACTGTTACACTATTCACTCGGTTTATGTAGAGTAAACACTTTCTTCTTCTTACCCGGTACGTGTATTTCAGAATATTTAAGCGAGACAATTCAAAAGTTCTTTTATGATATTCCTACAGATAGCATAATACTTGTGCATGGAACAGTAGCCCAGAGATATCTGACTTGCTTTACCTAACACCTCTCAAGTCAACATCCTGTCAATTCTGGAAACCTTTAGATGGTGAGATCTGAGTCAACGTTGTTTTGGCATTGTGCAATGAGGTGCCCAGCTGACCATGTGAAATTCCCTCCTCTAATGCAATAACAAAGAAAGACACACACACTAAAATTACCAATAAACTACTGTACAGTAGTAACAGTACCTTGTACTTGGATGCATTGCTCTTTGCCAGAACTTTCTCTTCTTCTGACTGTTTTAAACGCTGCTGTAGGTATCTGGAAGACAGTAAAAGATATTAATACAATAAAATATATAAATTTGATATATAAAGCACCTTATACACTAAAGGATAATATTGTAAAGTTGTTCCTTCATACTGATGTACACTGTCAGTACTGTTGCAGATTATCATGGAGGTACTGGAGAGTGAATCATCAGGCCACCACCCTGCTGTAAGGCTCTCTCCACCCTGCTGTAAAGCTCTCTCCACCCTGCTGTAAGGCTCTCTCCACCCTGCTGTAAGGCTCTCTCCACCCTGCTGTAAGGCTCTCTCCACCCTGCTGTAAGGCTCTCTCCACCCTGCTGTAAAGCTCTCTCCACCTATGTAATAAAAAACTTAGTTAAATATTGCGGCAAAATGAGCTAACCTGTTTTCCGTGATAACGGCATCAAGATCTAAGATGCGTTTTGGCTGGTTTGTGGTACTGGCAGTGGAGTTGTTGGCAAGAACTGTGTTGAGGATGTAGTTTAGGCGGTGAAGTTTATGAGCGGAGGCATCCAGCTCCCTCACTAGTTCTTCCCGCTCCTCCACAAGGCCTCGCACGTCACCCTCCAGAGCTTGACACTAAAGTAATAAACACAGTGAAGTAATAATAAACAAGTGGTAATTATATGTTTGTCACATGGCACTAAATGTAAAGTTAACTGTACTGACTTTTGTACTAAGTTCCTCCATTTGGGATATAAACTGTTCTCGCTCCTGATGAGCCAACTGACTCATAGTGGTGTGGGCGTGGCTTCTTCGTCGACCTTCCTCGCTTCGTGACCGTTGGACCTCCTCACGCAACACCTGAGAAACGAACATACAAACAATTGAATAAGACAATTAGCAAATGTTATATGTTCAGTCCCCTTCACTAGTGCATTTACAAGGGCTCATCACTTTTGTGCAGTGTGGCAGCCCTGTGTATGTTTACATTCGACAGAAGAAAACTCATATTATTAAACACACTATGGAATCAAAACAATATTAAAACAAATATCTCACTGTAATGATATGTGGAATGTTTATATGACAAGATCCTGTAAACCCACTAATGAAGGGGACTGTACAGTACACATCATGTACAGTATAGGTATCCCTCGCTATACGAATGGGTTACGTTCTTGAAAACTATTTGTTAAGCTAACTTTTGTATAGCAAATAAAAGAATATATGGGAAAAATAGGATTCCAATCCAGTATGTCAAGAAAACCCCCAAAACATGAAATCAGTTCATTAACAACAAATCCTAGCTAACTAATGATAAATAGTATACAACTACTGTAATTTACTACTTAACACATAAAAAACATTAATAAAATACAATCTAGATGATAACATGCAGCTCAAACCACTAAGGAAAAGGCAAGTCAACATTTGAAACAGTTGTCATATGCATAGATGCTGGCTGCATCATGCCAGCTGGGGATGCTCCTTCTCCCGACACTTAGCAATGCTCTCCTTCCTGCTCTCTCACACATAAATTTAATGTTTAATTACTTGTTTTTGACCTTACAATACTTATTTCATTTAGTTTTTTGCACATTATGTATGCAGGATAGCGTCTGTACATGTAACTGAATAAAAAGATGCTAAGAAAGTTAGTTTATGTAAAGTACTGTACTAGAAATTATGAGTTGAAAAATAACCATAACATAACTCCCCCAGTTCATCCTGTTAACTCTCGCCAGCGCACGAAGAAATGCTTCTTCCGTTTATGTTTTGACCTTATGAAAGTTTTGTTTGCACCACATTATATATATATATATATATATATATATATATATATATATATATATATATATATATATATATATATATATATATATATATATATATATATATATATATATATATATATATATATATTTATTTGTTTGCATAACTCCTACTTCAGCCTGGTATGGGGATGTGGCTGCCTCAAAACAGTACAGTACAGTGTGTTGTCTGTTGGTGGACCACCAAAACAGTACAGTACAGTGTGTTGTCTGTTGGTGGACCACCAAAACAGTACAGTACAGTGTGTTGTCTGTTGGTGGACCACCAAAACAGTACAGTACAGTGTGTTGTCTGTTGGTGGACCACCAAAACAGTACAGTACAGTGTGTTGTCTGTTGGTGGACCACCAAAACAGTACAGTACAGTGTGTTGTCTGTTGGTGGACCACCAAAACAGTACAGTACAGTGTGTTGTCTGTTGGTGGACCACCAAAACAGGGATGTTACATGAAGACAACCTATAAGGAATTTATCCTTGTGTTATGTCTAATTGAGCTGTTTGATATTTAGTTTTCACGGTTTGATGTGTAATACCACAAATAATTTCACAAAATAATACTGAACAGCTGCATACTGTACTGTATTTATATACAAAGATAGAGTTATTCATCAGTGTACAGTATTACAACTCTTGATGAAGGACTCCCTCCTGTGTCTACAAACAACACAGTGTGTAACTGTACTGTACAAAGATGGTGCATCTCACAATATTTAATTGAAATTAATTGTATATTTATTCTGCCTTGCCATTGAACATTTAAAGTTTGGTTAATGATGTTATCCCTGACCTTGATATCTGCCTGTGCATCGTGCAGTTTACAGCGTAATTCAGTAGCATCCTGTCGCAGCATCTTGTTCTCCTCTTTGGACTGTGAGAGAAGCTGTGCTAAAGTACCATCTGAGCCACTTAACATTGCTGATCTGCACGGGTCAGAGTATGCTGGCTGTTGATATGTGAAAAAAGAAAAACAATGTGTATACTGTACTTATGGTATATACTGTTTACAGTACTGTATACTGTACATACTTTTTCCTTTTTTTAAAGGGGGATAACCACCCAGGCACAGGTCATCCATCAACCCACAACGGGGCCTGATGGGTGAAAAAATAAGAGTTAAAAAATTGGAAAACTTACTTTAATCTGAGTTAATAAATCGCGTGCATGTACCGACGGAGCGAGGAATTACCCAAATGTAGTCGCAATGAAGTCAAATAATGGTCCTAGATGAATAAATCAGACTGCCAATCACTTCTCGACTAGTATTTGGTGTCACAAAATCACAAAAAATTGGTAAACTTAATTTAATCTGAGTTAATAGATCAAGTGCATGTACCTAACCTAACCTAACCTCGACTAGTATTTGGTGTCACGAAGTCACAAAAAATTGGTAAACTTAATTTAATCTGAGTTAATAGATCAAGTGCATGTACCTGACCTAATCTAACCTAACACAACACAACTCAGATTAAATTAAGTTTACCAATTTTTTTTTACTTTGACACCAAATAATAATCGAGAAGTGATTCACAGCCCGAATTACGCTTGTAGGACCATCATTTGACTTCATTGCGGCTACATTTGGCTACATTTGGGTAATTAGTCGGACCGCAGTGAGAGGATTAATTTAGTATTGTATTAATTTTCACCTTCGAAACAGTGGAGCAAGATGAACGGTGTAGTGTTCCTTGTTCTGCTAATGTTCGGAATTTGTCTCTCTCTCTCTGACACTCTTGAAGTTCTGCTCTGAGAATTCCCACTGCAGCAGTTTTACTCTCTACTGCACGACCTAGAACACCAACCTGGTTTTGGGGAAAGAAAAATAATATAATATGGTGAACTGATCCTGAAATATGGTGGATTGATCCTGATTCTTAACATTTTTACAAGTTGAGAAAGGTTAGGTAAGTTGTTCAAAGGCTTGTTCTAGTGGTAGTGCTGTTCTCAGAAATTACCCCACCATCTGCGCCAGGAATAACGAAAAGTTTAATGGGAACAGTTTTGTTGTCTACAATTAGGGTTGCTCACAGGGAAACATGTTAACAGTATACAGACCCTATTGGAATGTAGTTCTCTAGCTAACATGGCCTCGTGTACAATAATAAATGTCTCATCTTATCTTACTTCATTTCTTAGATTTTCAAGCTCCTCCTCGGGCGTCATGATCTGTAGTTGACGAGTTCTACTTCTGCCGCTCATCTTATTGTAGCATTAATAGCCGTTATATAATATGTTATCAGGGCCTCCCAGTGCCAGCTGTAGCAGTTAAAAGTGAAGTCTTAGGTAATAATGAAGTGCCAGACGTACGACTCATTCGGGCAGCTATCAGTCGCCAGGTTATCTGCCGGGAGTGCCGTACGATATGTTGGGCAAACCCTTCATCCAGCCGCTGCGTCGTCTGCCATAACAACAACAAGGACCCCGCTTATAAACAAAATCATCTGCTTGTAACAAGGATCCCGCATATAACAAAACATGGTCTTTTTACAATTTCCCTTATACAGTATTATCCCTACCAACAGGTAGTAGGCAGCTATCAAACAGGGAGGTACTACCACCTAGGAAAATATGGTAGACCTGCTGCTATATGGCATCACGAAAATTGTGACCAAGTCCCAGGTTGCTGATCTATCTTTCTGCCTCATTTACACACAATTGCAGGGTCTCAACTGTCTCTCTTACTATTGACAACACCACAAATAAAATCGTACTCATTCTTGATCTGTTTTATTCATTCTATTTTATTCTCGTATGTCAGTTGATATTAATACTGAAGCGGGGCCTTCTCCGATGGGTCCCACTGGTCTGGAAGGTTGTGGACCCCAGGGCCGACCTGATCACCATCAAGCCACTGGGGCCTCAACTGACGCCACTACGGTTGCTGGAGGATCGGCTTTTTTCACACTTCATTTTTCCAACATTAGCGGACTGAGATCCAATTTTTCTTCTGTGGAGCACCATCTATCAACCTCTTCCCCCGACCTCTTACTACTCTCTGAACTTCAACTGACCAAAGCAGCTTCACCCAAACCTTTTCAAGTCTCTAACTACAACCTTTGTACCTCCTTCCGTTCTAAGGGAGGTGTATGCGCCTACTGCAACACACGTACACCTATAGCCCGACTCACGGATCTTGAATCTCCCCTTTATGATGTCATCTGGCTCAAAATATCTCTACCTACTATGACTATTTTTCTTTGTTTCCTTATCTGTTCTCCCAACTCTACCAACTATTTCAAACTCTGACTATCTCACTTCTTGCCACGAGTCGTTGCTATCCACACACCACAACACCGAGATCCTCTACCTAGGGGATTTCAATGTACATCACAGAGAGTGGCTTGGTGCAAGGGATGACCCAGGTGGAGCTGAGGCACTCTCTTTTTCCTTACTTAATGATTTGGAACAAATAATCAAACACCCTACACAAGTTCCTGATGGACACGATCAACTTGCTAACATTGTTGATCTTTGTTTTACCTCTAACCCCTCACACTATTCATAATCAATTTCTGCCCCCTTAGGGTCTTCTATATCACAACCTCATTTCTATTAAATCAAACTGGGCACGACCACCTCCCCCACCCCCCTCGAAACGTCAACTATGGCACTATCGGAGAGCAAGCTGGCTATCCTTACGAGAATTCTTCACCGACTTTCCTTGGGATGAATGTTGCTTTTCCACTCGGGACGCCTCGGTATGTGCTGACAGCATTGCTGGGGGTTATACAGGGCGGTATGAATGCATTTATCCCATCTTCTACCAAAACTTTCACATTACAGTCATGGTTTGATCGCTCCTGCTCTCTTGCTTGCAGGGTGAGAGATAGGGCATATCGAGCTATGAAACTATCTCCTACTATTACCCACACCTCTTTCATTACTTCTAGGAATCGTTGTAAGGCTATTCTTTGTAGGGCCAAGCGGAATTTTATTTAAAGAAAGACTGCTGTCCTGACTAATTCTTCCTCTAGTAAATCCTTCTGGTCCTTAACTAAAAACATCTGCAACAACTTCTGCACGCTTTCTTTTCCTCCCCTCTTCCGTCCCAATAACTCTATAGCCAACTCTCCCCCTGACAAAGCCAACCTCTTTGGCACCTTATTCTCCTCTAATTCCACCTTAGACGATTCCCACTCTATCCCTCCTACCCCTGCACCTCGTACTGAACCTATGCACTTTCCTATAATCTCCACTCGCAGGGTTGCCGGTGTATTATCCAGGTTGGATGTGAGTAAGGCGCATGGACCGGACGGAATACCCCCCTCGTGTTCTGAGGCGAGTGTGCTGAAGCCCTGGCCCGTGCTTGCTCGCCTCTTTTGCCTTTGCCTCAGAACCCAAACTTTTCCTTCTTCTTGGAAGCATGCCTTGGTTCAGCCCATCCCGAAGAAGGGTGACCATTCTAATCCCTCTATCACCCCATTGCTCTAACTTCATCCCTCTCTAAGATTTTCGAAACTATCTTGACCTCCCATTTTCTCCGTCACCTTGAATGCCTTTCTCTTTTGTCGGATCACCAGTGTGGCTTTCGCCAGCCGAGATCTACTGATGATCTGCTCTCCTACTGCACACATCTTTGGTCATCCTCTCTTAGGGATTATGGGGAAACTTTTGTCGTGGCCCTCAAAATCTCCAAAACATTTGACAGGGTATGGCACAAGTCTTTGCTATCTAAACTTCCCTCTTTTGGTTTCTCTCCCCCAATTTGTTTTCTCATCTCTAGCTTCCTTGAGAACCGATCCATGGCAGTTGTTGTCGAGGGATCGATTTCTCGCTCTTTCTCTACCAGTAGTGGCGTCCCACAGGGTTCTGTTCTTTCACCAACTCTCTTCCTTCTTTTTATCAATGATTTACTTCACACTACAACTAATTCTATCCATTCTTACGCTGATGATTCTACTCTTCACTCTTCCTCACATTTTCCCCTTCATCCTAACTCTGTTTTTAGAACTGATATCATTACTTCTATCAACGCAGATCTGTGCAGCATCTATGAATGGGGAGGTACAAACTTGGTTAAGTTCAATAGTAATAAAACTCAATACTTACCTATTACACTTTGTAAATTAGACGATTGCCCACCAATTACATTTCAGGACGCAATCATCCTCCCAAATTCTGAAATAAATATGTTAGGCCTCACCATTTCTTCCAATATGTCCTGGAAATCACACATCCTTAGTATAACTAAAGCTGCCTCCCGAAAGTTGGGAATGCTGTACAGATGCCGCAGCTACTTCACTCCTGAGCAGTTGCTCCAAGTATATAAGGGATTCATTTGTCCTAGCTTGGAGTACTGCTCTCATATCTGGGGTGGCTCTTCTTCTGTCCAACTATTAGATAGGGTGGAATCAAAGGCATTTCGTCTTATTAACTCTCCTCCTTTAGTCGACAATCTCTCCTCCCTTTCTCTTCACCACAATGTTGCTTCACTCTCTCTCTTTTACAGGTACTTTAACGGGCAATGTTCGGTGGATTTGGCATCCTGTGTACCGCCGGCAAGGCCGTGGGTTCGTAACACACGTCTTGCCCGCGGTTCCCACCGTTTCTCTGTGGATGTCGGTCACACGAGAATAACCCATTATAGTACCTCCTTCTTTCCTCACACAGCCAAACTGTGGAATGCTCTGCCTTCTTCTGTATTTCCATGCTCTTACAATCTGTCTCACTTTAAAAAGCTGGTTTTCCGGCATCTTCGTGGTGTAGGATTAATACAGTATAACCTTTTTTTTCTATATTTACATTTCTTTGCGTTCTTTTTTTCTCGCCTCCCAGGCTCGGTTGTGGGTTGTTTGACCTGCGCCCGGGTGGGCTAATTCTCGTAAAAAAAAAAAAAATAAATGATTTAAATTGTATTTGTCCCATCTTATCTCACTGGAACAACAATAATCAAACGTTAAATGTACTATGGACAAATTTCTTCGGGAAATTCTTTGTAATAGCTTTGCTACAAGCTTGTAAACTATTATCAAAAGTAATTTACCTAATATACAATAGTTACCACATTATATAGATAATAGATTTTGGGTAATTATTGAAGACTGACCTGTGGCTGACTTTTCATGGAAAACTACTTTAAAAATGCCGCAATTTCACTGGGTTTTTTTTATAGTGGACACTTGTAGTTTGTGCAAATCTATTAAACACTGGTTATTTCGAAATTAAACCTAACCTAACCTTAGTGGGAATGAAAAATAGACCTCACCAACCTAAACTTACCTAACTTCCTTAAACAAACTCAAACATGAACACAACAACATAATGTATGACCATCAATCCAAAATAGAAAAGGAACATTTTAAAAGCTCGAGCCATATAAAAAAAAGTGTTACACGACTAACTTTCATTAAATGTCACCATATACAGAAGTACTGTACAGTGAATAACTTGCCTGGCTCCCAACTGAGGTTCCTCGACTACAACGGGTTCCACAACTTTCCTTCGAGGTGTCCCGCAAAACTTAATAATAATAACAGTTAAAAGCTCACCAGTTTATGATAAATGAAAGGAACTCTTTTTAACTTGAATTTGTCTTGAACAAGAAAATACTGAGCTTTTTTTAGTGAGATGCAACTTAGCTTTCTATTGGCTGGAGAAGAAGAGAGAGATGATTGGGTTACATGTGGCTGACAGTGTTCCTTGGCCATGAATGTGGGAAAAAAACCTGAAATCATTCCATAAATATCATACAGCACAGAGTTATAGGAAGACAATTTAATCCTCACCATGATATTAACTTCCATTAAAACTGATTCTAAAACAGATAAATTATTGTGTACAAGATTATGACTGAGGAAGGTGACACAAGGTACTAGTGACTGAGGACACAAGGTACTAGTGTACAGTACATGTCTGCATCTGTTTATCCTGTGATAAGTTAAGTACAAGCCCATAGTAGTACAGTAATGACATGAGAATGTTGTAAGGCAGTACAGTAGTAATAGATTGTTACTCTACACTTAGCTGTGGTGTGAGCCAGACACAGAGAGAAGCACTATGTATGTACACTACAGTAATGATAATTAATCAAACTTATAACTCTGATAATTATCTTTGTGATAAATAAAAATGTAAATAATAAAAGGGCAGCATATTTCCATGGGTTTATTTATAATGAACTTGTGTCTTTACTGTAAGCCAACAAGACTTAGCACTTATGTTCTACCCCATCTTCTATGCTGTCATCATCAACACTTATATCTTCTATGCTGTCATCATCAACGCTTATGTTCTCCCCCATCTTCTATGCTGTCATCATCAACGCTTATGTTCTCCCCCATCTTCTATGCTGTCATCATCAATCTGTTGAGAAAACCATTGATACTAAGATAAACTACACAATTTACGTTACATGATGAATTACTGAAGAAGTTTCAATGATGTACACCCCTCCACTCTAAACCCTGACCACCAGCCTCACACAAGGTACAGTAGTGTATTGTATAGCTCAACACTCCTGTCACAATTATACAAGTGCTTAGAAATTCATGATACAATAATCCTTCATAATTCAATGATACAGTAATCCTTCATAATTCATGATACAATACAGTAATCCTCCA